CTGGGCGGTTTGCAGAGATGCTCTTTTTCAGTCTCTGCTCATTAAGACAAAATAGAAACCCAAGAGAAGATTCCCAAGCAAAAAAAAAATGCCGACGCAGTCAGTCTTCTCCGAGCTCATGCTGTTATTGGTCATTGCTTGTGGATGCAAAATGCATCCAAAGAACCATTTACAAATCACTTATGACTGTGGTACCCTACCACAGATTTACCAGAGGAAAAGGTAGATGAACTTCATATTTTAGTAGTGTTTTTCGCCATTTCTGACTTTTAAATCTATAAAAGGCTTGGTATATCGTATTGCTGTGGTTTTTAATGATTCAATACCTACTATGAAAGCCTGCATTTGGCCATGTGAATGTTGTCTGAATAAAGTTGGATACGATATATCCTAAATTAATGATGAAAAAAGAGTGAATAACTGTTCCTGGGCTCTCTGGTCTGCCAGCGTCAGCATTTCGCAGCCCTTGTCGTTGATTCTGAGCCCCAAGGGAGCAGGTAAAGCCAGGGTGGCTGTCTGAAATTGCTTGGGACTGCCCTGGGTGTTTTAATCTATCCCTGGATGTTTATGTATTTTTCTGAAACCCCAAATTTTTCTGAACAGATGGGACAGAAGGGACTTCCAATACTACAGGAGTTTGTGGGGAAGTGCCCATAACTCCTGTGTCTGCCTTGTTCTGTACCAGCTCTTAACAGTTGCCTTTGCTCAAGTGAGAGTGAAAATGTGGGAAATTCAGAAGGTATGGCTCATTAGTAGATGGAAATTCCTAATTTCCTCACAGAGCACAGACCCACTGCTCTTCCCCAGACTCTGCTGGGAGGTGTCGGAGCAAGGGGAAGCCCTTTCCTAGTGGCGGTGTGCTCCAGTGAAAGCTGGCCACCTCAGCCTGTGCCGGTGTGCTGTCCCAGGCTGACATGCTTCCCAGCATCATGACCAGAAGAAGGGAAATGAAATTCCCTTTCCAAAAATTTAGCGTCTTCATTAATGTAGAGAAATGCAAGATTGCAAATAGAGTTAAGAACAAATCATCACCATGTGGCTGCTGTGTCGAGTCATTCCCTAATGGAAGGAAGCTTGAGTGCCTTTACCAAACAGGTTTTCGTTACGTAGGGTGTTTGGATTTTTTATATGTATGAATGTTCGATGTAACGTATATGTCTAAGTTAGTTGTGAAATTTTAGCTCTTAAATTCCTGTGTTTGAAGCTTTTTCTTGGTGGATAGTCCCATTTATGCTTAATTTAAGAATATTGTCTGTAACCCTGTTTAACATGATTTCTGTTTAGGAATTACTGTTTGTCCTTCGGAGCTAGCAGGTGCTGTGCCTGGGGAAGTGTAACTTCAAAACAAAGAAAGATCTGCCCTTGTTAAAACTGGAGAGAAGAAACTTTCTGAGGACCTTTGGCGTGCCACCAATGTGTTGTGTACAGCGCAGATGGTTAAACAGTGTTACAAGGCTAGAGTCTGATAATTCTGTTCTATGATTCTCTATTTGTCTACCACCTCTTTGAAGTGAAAGTGGTATAGCAAGTACTCAATAATTTACATACTGTACAATATAGCCAAATATAAATGATGCATTATTTTTCCATTTAGCCCCATTTGAATTGATTGATTACCAAATCTTACATTTATCATTTATCAGCATTGCGATTATTTATAACTTTTGCTGAGTTTACAAAGTAATGCATCAGTCAAGGAGCTGAGTTGCTCTTCCCTAATTTATAATGGATATTGTAATGATCAAAACCTGATCCTTATGTTGTTTATTTATTTAATTTCATCAGCACTGAGCTTGGAAAAGATAGCCAGAAGATATGGGGCCAAAGCTAAGGTTCAGAAAGAAGACTTCCCCCCCTCTCTTTTTTTTTTTTTTCTTGTTTCGTGGTACTGACTTTTAATAGTTATTTTAAAAATAATTGTATCACAAGAAGGACAAGAATAGGTGGCCAGGCAGCCAGTGCCACCCAGGCCAGAGCCCCAGGGAGGATACACCCGCTATCTTTTCATTCGCCTCCTACCTGCAGTGGCTGGTAACAGCCGGGCACGGCTGAGGTTTCACTTACTCGGCTCCTGGGGTCTTCATCACAAGCTAGTTGCATTTTCCCTACAGTGGGCTTTAGGCATTGTGATTTTTTTATGGGCTAGATCTTTGTGGTAAGCTGCTTTACAATTTGGGCACATTTCAACTCTGTGTAGGGTACAGCTGGAAAGCAAGCCTGCCTTCCCTCCCCCGAATCCACACAGTCCTCAGTTCCCCTGATTGTTTTCCTGGCTTCCCCTGCAGTGCGGGGCTGCCTGTCCCTCTCCTGTCCCTCCACACTCCCAAGGTGGTGGTCCTTCCATGGGAAGCTCTGTGGAGGAGCCAGGTGGATACCCAGAGCTCTGAAATCTTCCCCATTTCAAACTGCAATCCCGATTTACTGCGAGTGAAGCGAGTGAGGTGGGTGATGAATTTGAGTCTGGTAAAGCAGACAAACCGGGGTGCTGGCCCTGCTAAAAAGTTCTTGAGTTGGAATAATTATAAAAGTTATTTGAGCAGAGAAATCACAGAATAGGTCCTTTTTTGGGCTGTTGATAGCTTTTGTGTTTAATCACTGCGCAACCTTGTGCGGCTGGGACTCGCCTAATTGATTTCTTGATGCCAATGGCAGCAGCAGGCAGGAGCGCACCCGCAAAGCGCGCTGCTGGAGATGCACGCAGCGTGCGGCTCGTGGGGCTTTTCCCTATCCTCTATCCTTATTAACGCTGGCGCTGCTAAAAGAAAAGAAGATTGAACATAAAAAGCTGAAGGTCGTCCATACAGTTGTCTCAATAGCAATCTGTGTGACTTTAACCCTGTTGAGGAAAAGTAATTACCCTTTGGCTTCTGGTGACCTCAACTAACCTTTGCTGAAGGACCAGAGAAAATAAAGGCTGACCAACAGCCTGCCCTTCCTGCCCTGTGGTTAACCCGCGCGGGGAATGAAGAACACCCTCAACAATAGGATGTGAAAATGTTGCCATGGAAATATCATTGGAAGAAGAAACAAAAATCTATTACAATTAATAGTGTTTTATTAGGTGACTCCTATAGAACTGTTTAATCCATGGAAGTTGCTCTATCGTGAGATCTGGGGTCAGGAAATTTCAGGAGGAACAGAAGCAGGAGGGAGAGCGTTACCTCTTTAAAAATTCAAGAGCTGTTGGCAGAGCTGGGGTGGTTTGCATGAGATAAAAGAATGAGGTTTGTGTTGCGCACTGTAAGTATGGGAAGTAATAGCAAAGAATAGATGCAATTACCGTAATTGCAAATGATAACCACTAGCTATCCAATGGTCAGGGAGAGCAGTGATACACAAATACTTTGGTTTTGTTATATGGCGAATAGCAAGAGTCATTTAGCTTGCTGTATTTTTGTTCACAACGCTGAGGCCTTGCCTAGAGAACATCAGGTTATTTGCAGAAGGTATCCTGCTTTTGTGTCTCTGATGTTTTCAAATCATCTCCTATCATGCTTTTATTTTGATTTTTTTTTTTTTGCTCCTTCTGCTATTTATTAAATTTGATGCCTTACAATACCGAATATTAAATCTCTGATAAATTCGCTGGTCTGCTTTGTTGTGTTTTAGGCTGAACCTTGTGCTGTTCGCTACCCCAGCTGTGGCTGGTTCCAGCTAGAGCTGGCAGTGCTGCACTTTTTCAGAAGTAGCTTAGCAGTTTCTAGCAAATGTTGATCCTTTGAGCACACAAAGACAACAATATGTGAAGACATAATCTGCATGTTGATGATCTACGATATTCCAGTTTTAGTGCATGATAAAGCACTTCAATTAAGTAAATTCCGTGATGTTTCCTTATTTATGTGACAATTTACAATACTCAATTTATTATTTTTTTTTAATAAAAAAGTTTTAAATGTGTGTTTCTATCTGTGTGTACCTAAAAAAAGTAAATTATTGTATGGCTTTTAAGAGAAATTAAGAGAATTTTAGCAGGTTTGTTTTAAGATGTTAATACACAAATACACAATTGTATGCACACGTTTTCTGGTATTTAAAATTAATTCAAAATAACACATTACTTACAATACATGTTTTAAGAACGTTGCATAAAGTTATACACCAACTTTCTTTTTTGGTCTTGTTCCCGAAGTACAAATATTGTAAATGCTAAGAAGATGTCAACTAAAATACTTTAATTAGTGTTACGGATAATCTTGCTGTTAGTTTAAATGGACACGGGACTGTGCCCTGACTGCATATTTCTTGTAATAAAAGCTGAAAGCACGAGAAGGAAATGAGTTGTGGTAAGCATCATATTAAAATCTTTTCCTTCTTTTAAAATGGTGAATAAGATTTTTTTTTTCTCCAGTGTTTTTGTATCAGCTTCCAGTAATACAGCTGTGGATTTTTACCACGAGAGTTCTTCAGCTTAAGAAGGTTTTCAAATGATAATTTGCAAAGAGTACACAGTATGCTGGAAAGAACCAAACTTACTTCTGCATGAAAAAGACTTTCACATGCAACATTGAAATAATTTTCTGTATTGCAAATACAATCATTATCTCAAGCTTTTCCTAGTTATAACAATATTGCTCATTTTTTAAGTTTTTTGCCACTGCAAATTTTGGAGCACAGAGTGCAGTGTGTCTAGATGCAGAAGTACAGTAAAGATAGTGCACTTATATCATGGAAACTTGTCTGTTGTTTTAAAATGAACTCCGTGTTGCTATACTCATTTATAACCGGGTGAACACTTAAAATGACTTTTGGTCAGATTTCTTTCACTATGCAAGCTTGTATTTCAACTTACCAAACCAGTGCAGGTCCAGGATCAAGGCAATGTGCTTTCATTAATTTTCAACAATAATTTCTACGTCACTGGCTCCAAAGCATTGTTTGCTCAGATAACTCACCTGGTCGTGGTGCTGTGGGGAGCTATTACCTGTTTCGTAGACTGTCGCGTTTTCTCCCTTGGGGTAGTGCCCAGGTTCTCATGTTAATCCCTCTTCATTTCCAAGTGCTCCAGGTCCATGGTATTCTGGCTGAAGCTCAGAACAAAATTCAAGGAAGTCCAGCATTGTACGTGGAGTTTCTGCTGCTGTGTTTATTGTAAGAGAAAGAAAGCAGAAGAATTACCATGTGTTACTCAAAGGTAAGCATATTGATAACCTGCTCTGTTCTCAATACTTTGAGAAGTTTGAGAAATCCCTTTAAATTATTCACATCATATTATGTGCGTACTAGAAGCTGTTGTTAAGGTGTCTTCACCTTCACTTATGGATTGTCTTCTGTCCTGCTTTAATTTTGGCACATAGGGTGCAGCTTTTTTCCATTTTAGCCTAACATAATTCCAAGGCCTGAGTAATATTTGCAGTCGTGAAATGTTTGCATTCCAATTTGGGGAGAGAACTCGAGGCTCTCAGAACCATTAGTTGTTCCTGTTTGCCACAAAAAGAATTTTCTGCCTGACTTACTAATGAGCTGTATATACTCTGCTTTGTAATGTGTTTCATACTTTCATTCTCTGAAATATATTGTCTGCCATTGTCAAATGAATGGGAAATTAAATACAAAGTCTATTTGTAGGATATTATTTTACTGCATCACTGTTATTTTGATATGACCATACAGGTGTATGTTGTGTTATGCTAAGCATAGTATAACTTATATAAAAAAGGTAGGGAGGTAACAGCAAAGCAAAATAGTCAGAAATGTTTTTCATTCAAGTCCAAAGTCTGGTCACATGCAGTCACATTCTTTAAAACCTAAAACCTATTTTTACTTAAATTAAATCTGTTCATTGCTATTTCAACCATAAAACATAAAAATGTAGTTTGGTAGCTAATGATTAATCTCGCTAGCATAGAATCATATATATGTTGTGGAAAGTCAGAAATGAAATTATTTCTACGTTATTCTGACCTGATAAATTCACAGACATACATAAAATGCAGGGCTTTCAAATATGCTACAATTCTTAAAGATTTAGTTAATCTAACATTGCATAACCTGAAGTGCATTTAACTAGTGGCCTCCTATTGTTCTATAGCATTATCTGAGAACATTATGCTTCTTAAGAGAAAGACTGCCAATACCGAGGTTTAAATGTTACATACATGTTACTGGGAGAAAAGAGAATTGATTCAGTCGTTAATGGTAATTGCGGCAGAAATATTAGTTATAACAAGATTACTTCGTGGCAAACTATAATATTGAAAGTACTGAATGAACATCTGATTCTCAGAAACGTAAATACAGGCTGAATATCCAAGGCATTGCAGAAATGTTTACAGTTTATTTTAGCAATTTGCAAACACTACAGAGGAGATATTTTTATAAAACAGTATGACATTTCTGTAGCAAATTTCTGTCACTTTAAAGTCATCTCTTAGCTATTTACTAATAATACAGCAATAAAGCATAGAATATAGTTTGGATAAGTGTTTATTGGTATCCTGCATCACACAAACAGATAAGTAAATCTTTATCTTGATAGTTTTGTTTTTAAATCAACAGCAGTATTAGATATCCTAAAAGTTACCATAGTCATTAAATACCTTATAGTGCTGTATCCCTGGTAATCCAATTTACAAAACTATATTCTCAGCAGAAACTCCTGGGGTATACAGTAGTTCTCTTCAGTAAGCCCTTCCTGCTTTTTCTTGTCATGAAGCAGTGATGGTACATTTTATCCTGTTGATAATTTGACTCTCTTTAAACTATTGCTTGTTGACCCACTGGATTGGTCTTTATTAGGGTGGAGGTAGCTGGAAGATTGAAGGACTGCAGACCATATATCATTCTTCCTTTTTTACTGTACCTTAATATTCAACATAGCATCATTATTCTGAGGCAAAAGCGAAAAGCTGGTCCATCATATATTCCACACATTGCTAGTCTTTCCTCTATGTCCTGCAGTGCTAGAGAGGGGGATTATTGCTGCAGAAAAAAAAATCTGGCCATAGTGTAGGAATAATCACTGCAGTCCGGCTCACCCCCACACCTCTCTTTCTCTCTCTCTCTCTCTCTCCTTCTCTCTCTCTCCCTCTGTTTGAGGCCCCAGCTGATTCAGTCTGCATCCATCCATACATAAATCATTGCCCTTATTCTATTGGTTACATGGTACATGGCAAGTATTGATTTTTTCCGTTGCCTCATTGCTGGAGAACCCATGGTTTTTGTGAGACTGAAAATGCAAAAATTTTTGCCGGAGATCTTGTCAAGGTACAAAAATGACAAGCGAGGAGGGTGCTATTTTAAGGTTTCTGTGACTTAAAAATCTTTGCCTTCCCTGTTCTACTCTACTGTTTGCCTGTGTCCCAAAAAGTCGTGGCTTGTTTAATCACTACTGCTTTAGGTAGGCTTAGTGGCTAAGCAGCAGCAGAATAAGTAAACAGAAGCAGGGCCTGGCCAGTCGGAGGAAGGCATTGCTTAATTATTAGAAGTTTAATCATCTTCTGAAACATGAACAGAAAGATAAAGAACAATGTGAAAATGATGGCATTTCAAGGGAAGAAATGAGTCCTAGGCACAGGATGATAATATGCTGTAGAAAAAGGGGCATTCAATTTCTTTCTGCATAACAAAAATCCAGCAGCATGCTTAATTCTTGCAATAGGTCTTTGTAGCATTTTGAAACCGATTTGCTAACCCCTTATCAGTATGACTGCTGCAATGAGTTAGTTTTCCTCAGCATTCAAAGCTGCCTGCGAATGTCTCACAAAGATGGCACCTCGTTTCCTCAAAAAAGTGTTTTTGAGGAACAGGAAGCCTGGGTTATGAGGCAGATTATGAGATGTTCTACTTCAGTAACTGACAATTCCCTGGTCTAAGAGTCTGTCTTACTGAGAGCCTGATCCAAAACATATTGGAGTCAACAGGAATGCTTTCATTGACTCTATAGGTGCTGGCTCAGCTTCAGCTTGCACAGAAGACGGTATTTGCTTTTTGTCAGAAACCACCACTTTCCCTCGGTTTGAAGAAGCGAAATGGATTGGGATGGGTGGTTTAGAGATGGGAGTACAATATTATTGTATTTCATCTGATTGCATCTTTTAACACTTTTAAATGTGGTGTATGCAAACGAGTGTGAATTTTCTTTAATGCCTGTAATGAAAAATATGACCCGTGCCTATTCCCTACCATCCCCAATTACTCTAACTTGCTTTTATGTTTTTATTTATTTATTTATTTATTTATTTATTTTTAATTTGAAAGCCACTGTCAGTTCTTGTTTTCATCTACATTGCCTTTAGACTCCGGTGTTCCACCAAGTATTGTGTGATCTCCATTTAAGGCACTGTACCCAATTTCTGCCAATTGCACATTGAAAACAGCTGATATTTTCTGCCTGGTGTTTGCATGCAAATCAAGTGCCTTAAACAAAACACACCTTTAGAGCTTTTGTGTTTCTGGGGCTGGAGGAATTGAGGATAGGCAGGCTGGGCTGGGGCAATTGCCCTCCTACTGAAATGGGTTTTGGTACAAATGTGTGGTGCAACTGTTTCAATCAATTTGATATATAAGAAGATGTAACTTGAAATAAAAGAAAAAGAGTAAGACTGTGGGAAGCGTGAATTTTGGATTCGTATTCTTTTTGCTTAGGAAAATTTGCCTTTGGCAAATGAGCTTCTTGCTTCACCAGAAGTGTAGGACCAGTGCAAAATGGGCCTGTTGTCCCTCTGGAAACCGTAATCTTTTCCACTGTGTTTTGTATACACATGGGCCAGACCTCTGTATTCAGTGGTAGTTTTTGTAGTAATTCAAATGAGAACTGCTGTGTTATCTTTGTGACAGTGGCTCCAACAAAAGGGTTTGGTACGTGTCTGTACATGAGTCATTCAAGCCAAGGTTTAAGTTCACTCCTTTAACCTTTATTAATAAAAAAGAAGGATTATTTGGCTAGCCAGGGTAGCAGAACACCCGTAGTTCAGTGGTTATAACACAGAGAAAAGACACTAAAGAAATACTTGTCTCAATCTGAGTATTACCAAGTGTGTTTCATCAGTTTCTTACAGCATATGAGGACAGAAAATGCTTTCAGAAATTGCCCGTTTCACAAGCTTTTAGGACTTGCCTTCAGTAGGGCATTATCCCGTGTTTCCATGGAGCCACCCAGCCTGAAGGTTGGGGTGTTCATAATGTAACTGGCCTATCTTTGTTAAAATATTTTTCCTCTAGCCTATGATACTCCTTAACCAAGGTGTGTTTGTGTCACAGCACTGGGGCGTTTTGGTCAGAAGCCTGCAGCTGCTGTACGCACATACCACAGAAATGCTTTGCATACACTTACGGGTTATGAAGAAGGGAACACCATAGATTTCTTCCCCTCAAAAGGAACATAAGTCACGCGATAGTCCAGCAGCCATCCTTCCAGTGTGTCTGGAAAATCATCTTGACATTGCCAGTTGTTTCCAGAAAGAAAGTGGAAAAGCAGACAGTGCCATTCCAGAGCATGGACCAACTCGCTGTCCTCCTGCAGATCCTACGGGAGAGGCTGTGCCCGCTGCTCTCTGGGGATGCGGCCGGTTCCAAGAAGTGTGATGGGATTTTCGCCACACTGCTGAGACCTTGCTGGAAAGGGGAGCCACCTGCTCCCCCGGCTGGTGCTCCTGGAGTCACTTATGCTTACCGAGAGATGGATGTAGATGGTGGTCAGCAACTACCCCGAGGCCCATGCTGAAGCTTTGTTGGGAACCGACCCCGAACCATAGCCCTTTTCTGGCCTGCTTCGTAGTGGCAAGGTGAATTTAGTGCAGCCAATTCAGCCAGCTTCTTTTTGCATCTCTCTCTCGGAGGAAGACAAGCATTGGTCCTTGCAGATGGACATGAGAATTAATAAATAACAACGACAAGAGGTCAAAGGATTTGTCCTGCAGCAACTAATAATGATATCTTTGTAGAAAATACAAACGAGAAGAACGGACAGCCATGCGGGCTGCAAGCTGCGGTTGTGTAAGATCGAGCTGAAGCAGTCAGGGCCGTTAACCCTTCCCCGAGCAGAGCTGCAGAGCAGCTGCCCTTTTCCCCACGACCTTGGGAAGCCATCAGCCCGCAGCGCTCCCCTCGGGGTCACACGTGGATGCCGCATCCGGAGTTAGGACGAGCTGCTGACAGCCTGGGCCAAGCGACCCCTGTCTCCTCTCACCCGTCGCCAGCGCCTTGCCATACTGCGCACAGCTGTATCTCTGCTAATGACACATCAGCAAATTATGTGTCTGTTGGGCAAGAGCAGACTTTCATCCTCAAAGGCCTTCATAAATAAGGTTGTGATGCAGAAAAATAATGCTTGCTAGTATCTCTGTCTTGTAGGTGAAGAAATTACACGAAGATCTGGCACTGAAGCCGGGATGATGTTTGAGAGCTCCTGCTTGCGACACACACGTGGGAAAGTTGCTAGAGGACCACGTACGTGGGGAAGTTTGACCCCTATAATGCTGCCAAGGACAGCGAGGTCTTCGGTGGTTTGCTTAGCAAGCGTTAGTCACAAAAGCATCTGGCTCAGCTCAAACCTGTAGGTTGCGCTTTCTCAATAAATAAATAAATAAGTAAGTAAAAGATGAAAGAGAAGGAAATAGCAACACAAAGTCCTTTTTGCAGGAGGGCCTGCCTCTCTTTCTGCTTTCCTCAGCCTGTTGTTGTGTAAATCACTCTGTTATATCCAGCAAATTAACTACACACACTGCAGCATGCTGAGGGAAGTCTGTTGTGGATTTATCTATTTAAATAGGAGTGGAATATAGTGCCACTTCATTTAACCCATCCTCGGTGCTGCAAGAGATCCCAGGAAAGTTATTCAGCAATGATTTTAAATCCCATCCCTGGGAATTAAAAAAAAAAAAAAAGTAGCTTGGGACTATACAGTTGGAGGCTGTAGTCACAATAAAATCCAGGAAAAGGTTATTTTACCTGAATTTATCGCTTAGCAACCAAGAACCTACCTCCTGAGATCCCTGTTCGTGGGTTACCAAGTAACTGGCTGTGACAATTACCAAACAGCTGTCCCAGGAATCTACATAGCCTTTAACCTCCGTCAGCTGAGAGATGGGCTGATGACAGCTAACAAACAATAGAAACACACCCTAATATTTTATTTAAGAGCTGAGGGAAGCCACAGCTGTATGGTTCATTCAGCCAGCTGGATTTAACTGCTTCGAACCGCGTGGCGTGGCTTCAGGAAACTGCTCTGCAGTCATGCCCTGTGTTTAAAGAGGTGCTGGGGGTTTATTCCTCCGAACTTTATCTCTGATAATTGAATCCACGCTATCAAGACAGGTTTTGCTGTTGTGTAGGAATGTAATTATGAAGGGTTTTTTGTTATTTTGTTGTTGTTGGCTTTTTATTATTATTATTATTATGATTCTATTTATGCAGCTAACGGTTTACAGATTTTTTTCCATTAATTTGTTGTGTTGACATTGGGGTTTAGGGAATGTAACTGTTCCACTAATTATCAGTGAAAGGGAGAACATTATGTATCAAAGCAATAAAGGAGCGATTTCAGAGGGAAGAAGTATAAGTAAGCCTGGTAAAGCAGAATTAAAAGAAAAAGAACACTGAGCTCGAATATCAAGAAGAGCTTCTTGTAAATGAGATGGATTATGTTTGGGGGTGGTTTCCCAAAGGAAACAAGGGGAACTGCAACCACCAGTGTGTGCAAGTAAGCCGAGGACAGTGTAAAATGCTGGAAATGTTGGATAGACTAACGCAGGTGTCAGTCCCCGTGGAAATGGCTTTTTTTTTTTCCTTCCATTTTTACTTTCCATGATTTTACAACGTTACAAGTAGCAGTCAGCAAACCTGCCACAAATTGCAAATACACCATTTTGTGCTGGCACTTCAGATGCCCTGAGCTGGGAGAGATTTATGGACATGCCTCGTGCTACAAGTTCTCAGGGGTTCCTTTTAGTTTAAAATAGAAACAGGAAAAAGGGGTTGGGAAGCTAAGGCCCCGTTCACGTGTACAGATCCCAGGCACAAAAGCTGGAAGAGCAGGGAGCTCTTGCTTTCTCTTTCTGCAGGCTTGGTACAGGTATTGAGGGGCAGAGCATTTGGAAATCAGTCGTCTTGCTGCTGCTGGCCTTGCTCCAGCATATTCTAGCTGAGATATCATGGTGCAGTCTGGCATCTTCTGTGTGCTGCAAGAGCCAGCTCAGGAGATCTTTCACTGGATTTCCACCAGCACCAAGTTCAAAAAGGGAATTTTCTCCTGGCTGCTTATGGTAGAAGCCTCATCCTTCTAGAACCTGGGGGGTGCTCTTCAACTGGTCGAAGTGGACTAGATTTAATTTGTTTAGATCTGCATTGTTTGGTTTTATACATCATTTTTAAAGCATGGCTGCAAAGCTGATAACCTTAACCTTTTCACTGCACACAGCTGTACTTATTGTCAGGTACTTGGGCTGAAGAGGAATTTTTGGTTCCTCAAATAGGTTGAAAAAAAATCAACCCAACAAAAGTGCCCCACCAACCCCATAGCCACATCAGCACCATTTCTCCTGGTGCAGTAACATCTCTGGGGCATGAGGGCATCCTGCTGCACGTCCTAATCACCTTGTCTTACAGATTGTGGAAGGACCACATTGCCAAAATTGTTGTTCTCTTTGGTGTTGGAGTGTCATTAAGGAGCCCAGGTTATTGCATTGCCTTCTTGTTAACGTGTAATGGGGAGAGCTGGTGGCCTGTGAGCTTGGGTTGGTGATCTCAGAGGCCAGTTCTTGAGTTCATCATGCAATGTTATTTTTCCCTGTTTACGTTTAAAAACAATACTCAAAGAGCGTTAGGTCCGCTCTCTAAAAGTACCTTAAAGGAGGCTGTAGCAAGGTGGGGCTTAGTCTGTTCTCCCACGTGCCTGGTGACAGGACAAGGGGGAATGGGCTAAAGTTGTGCCAGGGGAGTTTTAGGTTGGATGTTAGGAAGAACTTCTTTACCGAAAGGGTTGTTAGGCATGGGAACGGGCTGCCCAGGGAGGTGGTGGAGTCACCATCCCTGGAGGTCTTTAAAAGACGTTTAGATGTAGAGCTTAGGGATATGGGTTAGTGGGGGGCTGCTAGTGTTAGGTCAGAGGTTGGACTCGATGAGGGCAGAGCAACGGCAGGGTGATGAATCTTAAACTTGTCACTGCCCAGAGCATGGCTCTTCTGCTACATTTGTGTGGTCCTTGAGCTCAGTACCAAAGGTGCTTTTGCTCCTAAGCTGCTTACTGCCTTGTTTGGGTATGAAGGGAAGGGCAGGAGATGGCAGTGACAGTCTTACTCTCACCCTGTCCTGCTACTCATTCGTCTCTGGGGGAGAATTGGGATGCAGGAAGGCATTGCTGGGACGTTCTTTCTGTCTCTTGATGACAGAGCATGGTTGTCCTGTTTTCTGGCTGGTAGCTGGTTGGTTACATTGACAGATGTTGCAATGATTCTTTTGGCACTATTCTGTTGTGCTGACTGTTCAAACAGGAAATTCATCTTTTAGTATTTGCACATGTTAAATGTTTGTTTTAGTAGGAATCGCTCTGACAGCGGGCTGGTCAAACAGTATATTTTTGGAGCAGCAAACTCTGGAATTCTCAAACTCCTCGTCGTCCCATAGGTCTGCTGGTGCTTGGCCTGGAGCCCTGTTCCACGAAATACCACAGATCTGGCTTCTGAGGAGAGGAGACGTGAGCTTCTGAGCTCCAGGTTGCTGCTGTTTCGCTCTCAGGATGACGTGTTCCTGCGTGTGCTCGATGGCACTCGGTTCCCATCATAGCATGGTGCAGGACTTCGTGAGATCAAGGAGGGTTTGCTGTATGATGGAGTCTGTGCTGGCTTTGTCCTCCCTGAAGTTCACAAAGATTTGGTTTACTGAGGTGGCCTCTGGTCTAATGTTAGCATGAGGAAACAGGAAGGGGGTTGTAGCTTGTGCTAGACACTACAAAGCAAAAATGTGCTCAGGGAGCATGGGAAGCCTTCCTCCCAACAAGGACTAGCTGGAGAACTTGCTCTGACGAAGCTAAACCTCCATCAAAATCGCTCTGGTGATAATTCCCATTTCAGGTGACATAATCTGAAGGAGGCTTCTCCCTTCAAGAACGAGCAAATGCTGGTGTGATTTAATGGGATGCATTTTAGCTTGTTTCCTGACTTTTCATCAGTCAAAACTGGGCATACTTGTTTGAGAACCGAAAGGTGTTGTGTCACTGAGTGTCATGGCATTAGAGATACCCTGGCCGAGATCTGTTGTGCTGTCCTTGGGATGAAATTTATAAAATGTCAGCAGCTATAACATTTACTTCCGTAAGTACACCCTCTATGCTGGAAAGACGAGCGTATTATGAGACGTAGCTGCCTACAGACTTCTGGTGCATACGGCGGAGAAAAGGTTTAATCTGGTCAAGACCTCTCCAGACCCCTTCACTGTCGCTTAGGAGGTGAAGAAACAAGTGGCTGCAGCTCGCATGTGAAAGCTGCTTTGTGTCTTGCCAGCCTCTTGGCAACACTTCAGAGCTAGAGCTATTTTGAGTAATGGAGCTTGGAAGTGGAAAAAGGCTTTGTGGCAAACCTAGCATATGCATTTCTGAGAAACACATTCAGTTCCTATATGGTTATTTTTGTGTAATTTGACAGGAAAATTCGAACATCGAGGAGAGCATGTTCAGGTGAGTCAGATTACAGCTCGCACGTGTATTTGCACCCAGAAGTTACCCAATTGCATGAGTAACTGAGTGCAGAAATGTTTTCTGGTTTCTGCTTACAACAGCTTAGGTATAAAATCTGTGCTATTTATGAGTTTATATGGAGAAGAGAAATGTTTGTTAGCTACTGGATCATTGAAAATGTTACACCTGCCAGAAGGCAGAAGATTCCTTGAGAATCCAGTGCTGATTAGCACTGATGAAATACAGGAAATACAGGGAAATACATCTTTCAAAAACTGACACTCGTATGTTTTGGCATTTGGAGCAATGTTGTCGGTTTGGATCTTGCATTGATTGCTCACCCTTTAGTTGGATTTTGATGTGTGTAATTTGTGGAGCTTTACTATTTTGCGTTCTTTGACAGTTTTACCGATCACCATAATTTTAGTCTCCTTATCTTTCTATCTTGATTGATTAATTTTCTTCTCATATGTGCTCATCCTAATCTGAGCAACCATGCCACTTCTGGAAGGGGCACACAATTTCCTAAAGAAACACCAGGGAGTTCTTTCCATGTGTGTCAAGTGAAAGTGCGTTGCAGGAAAAGGCACCGTCTTTTAACAAAGTTTGTTTTTAAGCTTGGAATAATCAGGATTTGAATGTTATTAAAGTAACATTTTTTGCAAAAAGGAACTGGATTTATAAAAATGAACTAACTCTTCAGCCAGACCCATTATGAATTGCAAAAGCAGCTGGGAGATTTGGCCCAAGAATCAAGTTTTTTTTCTTTTTTTTTTCTTTTTTTTTTTTTCTTCATCAGAGTTTGTAATAGATTTGGAGGGACATAACATTTATTTCTTATTTCTGTGAGTTTCAGTCCAGGCCTTGGAAAAACCCATCTGACAGTGAGTTTGTTTGTATACTTTAAATTTTTTCCTAAGTGTGCTAGGCTCATTAGCAAGCCTTGGAAAAGGCACGCTTTGTTAGAGCTAATATGGAAAACAAGATACTAAGGGCTCAAAGCTGTCCTCAGAATATAAATAAGCATACCTTGCTTTGGACCAGGTTTTGACCACCGTTATACTGGAACCCTTGTTTCTGGGAGAGTTTGCTAGGAAATGCTGTTCCTTCAACAAATTTCAACAAAAAAAGGGAGGCAAGTCCTTTTTCCTTCCTTACATGGAGCAGCTTGGTTGTGCTTTAGCCTCAGAAGAGCAGCACAGAGCCCTGTGCGGCCACATGCAGAGGGGCAGTGACAGCTCAGCACTGGTTTCACTTGATGCTTTGCCCAAAGTCACTGCCCAACACCGTGTGAATGCTATAGGATCCCCTCTAGTGTGGTGCCCAAACAAGAAGATGCCACTCAAAATTATGTTTCAACGACTTAAGCAATAAAATGGTCTGTGACATTGCATGGAGCAGTTGTCTCTACCTGAGCATCGTTTTTTAATGATTTTTTTTTTAATTAAAAGATTGGATTTGAGAATTGTGTATGTATGTAAGTACCACTCACCCTGTTGGCACAAGGTGGCTGCGTCTTCATTAATCACAATTTGTACTTCCCTGTTAAGCCAAAGTCATTTCTATTCACTGCTGAGCCTCTTGGTGATCACTTAATTCCAAAAGCCCAGCTGTTAAATAAAAACAGAGACCACTTCAGGCAAGGCTTAAGCCAAGGTTATGGTAGCACTAGAGAACATAAAGAGAGCAGAGCTGCAACAGTGCTGGAGAACTTGGGGTGTCCTGATTTGCTGCTTGAGGAAAACCCAGTCTCTTGAGGCATGGCAGAAAACTTCATTCAGAACATGCTCTGGAGCTCGTCTCCTCCAGCTGTTGCAGGTACTTGGATCTTTGGTTCTTCGGCTAATCACAGAATCACAGAATTTCTAGGTTGGAAGAGACCTCAAGATCATCGAATCCAACCTCTGACCTAACGCTGAGTCCCCACTAAATCTCTAAATCAGTGCTTGCATGAATCTGAGCGTGGCACCAGGCAGCACCTTCGCTGATTGCTGAAATATTTAAGGCTGCTGCAGTACATGTGGCAAACCCTGTAGTAACATCTCATGATCCTGTTCCAGCTGTAAGGAGGTTTTAGTGTATTCTATCTGCCATAGCAGAAACATTTTCATCTTTACAGAATGCTTATTTTTGCAGGGTTCATCACCTTTCCCCATTACACTTCATCTGAAATCACATTTTGTGGCATCATTTAGTTGAAGTGGAGATAACGATATTTTATGATATTAAAGGACAGCTAGAGAAATGTGAACCAACCCAGGTAATCTGTGTTGTGCATGTATCCTTAGCAACTTTAAATGGTCCAAAATGGTGCCTTTTAATATTTTTTACGGTCTCCACTTTGTGCTGCAAAATTACATTTAGCTCGCTACAGCTGCATATCAACTTTTAAATCTTCATGAGCACATTTTTTTTTTCCGGAGTTTTAATTTCAGGATTAAATGTTGTCTCACCTTGCAGTAGTGTGGAAGTGCACGGCTTATCATTTGGTGGTGTTGCCTAGAAGTGTAATCCTCTCTGGACTGGAGGAGGCTGCAAGAGAGCACTACTTCCCTGCCTACAGACAGCTCCAAAGTTGCAGCAGCGCAGGTCTTTTAGCAGTGCAATTAAACAACCTTGCTGGATGCTGCCCTAGTGCTCCAGGATCGGCAGAATTTGCCTCTGCGTTCTTTGCTGAAGAGAGGAAATCCTCTTTGGCTGGAACTAAAACAAAGCGGAGTCTTCGAAGAGCATGAGGAGCATACGTGGCTAAGCGCACAGATAGCAGAAGGAACGCTCTGCCCCAGCAGTTTGGGTACCCTCTGTGTATTTGATTAAACCTTTCACTTGTCAGCAAAGCTCCTCCTGAGTGCATGAGCAGCAAGTCACTCCTTGCTGCTGGGCTTTGCAATCTCAGAGAGCAGCCTCCCTCACTGGATTCGTATGCACTACTACGTCTTAAATTGGTTAATCCAGAACCAACGCGTCTGGAGCAAGCAAATTCCTGAGTTAACTGTCAGTTCTGTCTTCAGCTCTCTGTGGCATACAGGGTTGCTAGCCTTCACTGAGCACTAGTGTCTTTGTTTTCATAATAGCTGTGTGAGATGAAGTGTCAGTCTTCCTCTATTTTTAATTGGTCAATTTGTATTCAGGGAAATTACACAATTTCCCCCAAAAGAAGAGGTGTTCGCATCCATGTCAGAGAGGTCTGTGTTGTCAGTCACAGGCCAGGCTTCTTCCTCATTTAGTTTGCTCCAAGTAGGTTTTAGAACACTTTTTATAAGAGAAAATAAAATTTCTTGTACTTAGAGGCTAAACTACCTGATTCTGAATTGGTATTTATCTGAAGAAGTTCTTTTTGTATTCTTGAAAGTCTTAGCCAGAGTTGGATAACTGAGAAGGCTGGGCTGGGACCTCTCATTACACATTAATTATTACTACTGTGATTGTTCCTTCTACAGAAGTCATGCAAAGCTCTCTCCCATAATGACCTCCTAACTAATGCCACGTTCCTTCACAGAAACCAGCGTGCAGGAATTATTTCTTAAATGCTCTGATTGCTCCTCTAATCCATATTTAATGGATACCTAGTGGTGGAGGATAGCAGCAGATGCAGCTGGTGGTACTGTCTGTACACCACTGTACCTTGGTTGCTGTCTGGGCAGCGGCAGCGCTCCAGAGCAGCAGGGAGAGGGAAGGACGTGGTGGCACCAACAACTAGCAAAAGGGCCGGGGACCGACGGGCAGGGAATTAAACCCTGTGCAGGACGTGGCAGCAGGCGTGCTGAGGTGAGGCACCAAGGAAGTCGTGCTGCAAGTGCCGCCTCGAGAAGCAGAGCTCAACACTGCATGTGTGTGAGAGAGCAGAAGCACTGGCCCATGCAGGCTGTGCTGCTGTGCAGGCGCTGCAGGTGCGTGAGTCCCACATGCTGGCTGCAAGCTGAGCCAGAGCTCAAGAGGATGGCAGCGGAACACAACCGGTCCTGCTGTGCCAGGACTGCTCGGGAGGACGGCACCAACATCCCCCTTTGTTTCTCAGGTCATTGGGGTCCGCTGAAGACATCTCCCAGGAAAACCTTTAGGTGAATCTCCGGACTCTGCTCATTAATGTTATGCTAGTTTTATTTTCTTCTTTGTCTTCTATCACTGAGAACGAAGTAATTGAATTAGCTGAAAAGAAGGATAAGATAAATTGGCTAAGAAGAATTAACTGTGTGCACCTGAGGTCAGCAAGCTCCTAGGAAATTCAAGGTGAGAACTGGCTGGACAATAAATGAGATTTAGCAGGAGGATACCAAGTTTGCTGGAGAACCAAGGGATAGAAATGCATATGACAAAGTACCCATGAAAACCTGGAGGCTTCTGAAAAGTCTGGGCAATTCCTCTGTTTTAAGATGGGAGAGCTGCACTCACATTCTTTCCAACTGCTTCGTTTAATCAAGGGAACTTCCCTGAAAGTTAACTTTTCATCCTTGTGTGAAGAGGCTTTGCCAGATAGATATTTTTCCTTCTGTATTCATATTAAGGTAGTAAATTGTCTGTCCCTCTGTTCACTTGCTAGCTTTTATTTTTTTCATGGTTGCTCTGTAATTTAAGTTCATCTTTCATGAAAACCATATGTTGGATTAAGGATAGGGTATTATTTTCGTGCATTGTAATACACTCTATTACCTCTTCCATTATAGCGCCATGTAAAAGTAATTATTATTCCATGTGTCACTGTGAATACTTTTAAGATTCTTTAGGTCTTCTCTAGCAGGAGCTGATTTCCATTCTCGATTAACTGCTCTCATTCTTTTCTAGATGTCAGAATTAGCTAAGTATAAATATTTTATATAAAGACTTTTTAGAAATATGAAAAATTCATATTAAGAATGATTTTAAATTGAGTTAGATTGCAATTCACAACAATAGTAAGCTAATTACAGTAATTTATTTTATACATGAAGAAACCTAAATAAACATAACTAAGTAGTAACATAAAGAAAATAAATTCTAGTCTTAAACAATAATGCTGTAAAACGGACAAAAGAAGCAGTTTATACATCTGCGTTTGCTTTGACAGCTACACTTGCTCTTTTGGACAAAGGTTGAAACTAGTTGGCTTTTAAGAATTTATGAATTAATTTTTTGCAGCTGCATTAAACTGATTGTATTAATGCCCTAGGAAGACTTCGTCTGATAACTTGGTTAATTTTCTCTTTCCACCAAACCTCAGCTATAGCTGTATTAAATAAAAATACAGAAAATGGTATGGTAACCTCACCATCTGCTATACAGCTTTGCTTTTTGTTCTGGAG